ATGCGCGGCTCCGGCCGCGGGGCTGAGGCTGCCGCGCCCGCCATGGCTGCGCGGCCGGGCCGCCCCGGGGCTGGCGCTGCGGCATCCGCACAGAGCTGAGGGGCTGCTGGGGGCTGCGCCACTCAGGGGAAAGGAGCGGATCTGGATAGGGGCACTAAAAATGTATATAAAAATCGGAGTGCCAAAGAGCCGATCGTAACGGCGCAGCAAATGTATGAAAGCTCTTTGGAAAGTGAGTAGTTACTAAGGAAAGAGGGCAAATGTTAATTCAATTTCAAAAAAGAGAAAAACCTAATCGGTGTAACTTTTAAGAAGAGATACTCAGAAGAAGTAATTTTTTAGAAGAGATACTCAGGAGTGAAGTGCAACTCTGGAAATACAGTTTAGAATCACAGTATCATTAAGTCTGGAAAAGGCCTTCTAACAGAGACCAACCATGAACCCAGCACCACCATGTTCACCATGTCCCCAAGGGCCACACGCCTTTAGAACACTGCCAGCAATGGTGATTCCACCAGTTCCCTGAGCGGTTCTTAATGCCCAGGCTAAACCATCACCATCCCCTGGCACAACGTGAGGCCATTTCCTCTCATCCTGTCACTTGTTACCCGGGAGAAGAGACCGACCCCGCCTGGCTCCAGCCTCCCTTCAGGGAGCTGGGGAAGTGATAATGTCCCCCCAGCTCCCTCAGCTGCTCCTCATGGGCTTGTGCTCCAGACTGCATCAGTTTCACTGCCTTTCTTTGGATGTGCATTTCATCAAAAAGAGAAGGGAAAATATAATTGAAAAGAGATAACCTACTTGGAATCATTAGAAGGTAATGCATCAGTAGCACGGAAAATTTAAGTCAAGCTTTATGCTGAAATGGCTGCAGAGCATCAATAGGGGGAAGCAGTAAACACATTCTCGTTTGGCTGATCTCTTAGCCCACATTGTTGACAAGGGATCAATACAAGACAGTCCCACTCAGTGTTTAACAATACGTGACTTTTCCAAAAACACCCATATGGCTCCCTACAGCTTCACTTTGAAGACAGTCCTTTGGTTTTTTGAAAGCCAGGAAATAAAATACAATGGGCAATTTCCGACTTACTTCAGGACACTGCTGAGGAACAAAGTGGTCTCTGAGTTTTTCATTCCATTTGTTTGTTTTAAGTCTTTTGTCTTGTTTGTATGTGGAAAGTCTTGAGGCAGATAAGAATTATTTTTATTGAAAACAATACAAACAGCTTTCCAATTGAATTTACTTACTTGAACCAACCCTATTCAAAAATAAATTTTTGAACAACCCCAAATCTTGGTGGTCTCCAGTTTCTTAACAACTTTTTGTATTTCTTTAGCATAATATTTATCCACCCAGATCATAAATTCAAAATATAAATATTTTTCTGTTCTTTTAACTCAAATGAAATGAACAAACAACCAGGGCAGGGACACTGCTTCTTACCTTAAAACTTAATTTGTTCATCATAAACACAGATTCATGCAGCCTTTCTGGTGCCTTTAGTATTACTTAACACCATCTGGAAGTACTACATTTAACTGTTTTAGTCATATTACAACAGTTAAAACAGGGGAGGGAGGTGGAAAGACTGCAAGCTCCATGATGTCAGCACCTCTCTTGTTCCAAATCTTCCTCTGAACATGGACACCTTCCAACCTGTTATTAGGATGTAATAATGACAGTGGGAAGATGATAATCAGGCCTCACCTGTCACCTCTTTCCTTGTGTCTGTATGCATAAGATTAAGGAGCAGTGGCGTTAGGGCAGAAGTCAGTCCCTCTGAGCCCTGTGCCTGCTCTCCAGACTGACCCAGAGAGGCACTGTGATGTGCCAGGTGTGTTGGCCTTATTTGCTCCTCTCCTGCACGAGAAAAAAACTGCAGACCACCTGAGTGGGGACAAGGAGCTAACACTGTGCCGAGACAAAGCTTTTCCCACAGTGCTACCCAGGACACGCCTGGTGCAAAATACATATACACTGATGACAGTGTGTCCTTCTGACAAAACAGAACCAGAGCTGTAGCACAGGTAGGATTACCTGAGGAGGCTTTAGGCAGAAAAGGGAAAAACAGTGGGGAGGGAGTGAATGAAGGATTTTCTAACCCAGTGCTACTTGGAGACTAGATAAGAGGGATTCTGATGATACAGCAGACTGAGCTGTATCATGAAAGAAATGCAACTTTTCTACAAGTTTATGGAAAGAAGAATCTAGTACATACTTTTAGAGGGAATATTTTCAGACTGCTGGGGCAAAATTGTTGCCCTGCTATTTTTTAAGTGTCTAAAGAGTGCAGACAGCCTCTGAGTCATGAAATGCCAACTTCAAAGAATGCACATTGTAGGGAGTTCAAAAATATCTACAATGAAAGGAAAAATTAAATGTTGAGACATCCAGGATGAGATAATCAGCTTTTATGTACACAGATCAAAAGTATTGATGATATCAGCCTGGAAAGATAATTTCTATATCAGTTGCTCCCTGTGCATTTTTGCTTATGTCAGCAGCTCCCAGGAGAGGCAAAAAGTTAAGATACTATAAAACTCATTGGTCTGTATTGAAGAGGCTTTGAAAGGCTTCAGTGTAGATTTATCTACAGTGCTGAAGGGAGCTCTTTCAGACAGTGTGAAGCAAAATCAGTGCAATTACAATGAAGAACTTCCTTTGGAGAACCTTGGGTTCTTCCTGCCAACACAGGTTCTGAAAAATCCTCTCCTGAGCCAATGTACCAGCCTAAGGAGTAAATGAAGGAAGTGCTTCTCACTCTAATACATTTGCTTGCAGAGAAGAGTGGGGTTTAGGCTTCCTGGTTTAAAGTTGCATCATGACACTCTTGTTGTGAAGTAGGTCAGCCTGTGGTATGCTAAACTCAATCAGAGAGGCCAGCCCAAGAGTAGTCTGAGTTGAGGGAAAGATGTAGAAAGCCACTTCCTATTTCTGTTATGCCAGTAGTGGGTGAAGTGAACCCCCTTTTTACTAAGGGGGGTTTTTGTGTGCTGTCCTTTCTCATAATTGTCAGATCTGTAGAATGCAGAAGAATAGTTCTCTGATAGTTCCTTGTTTCTTCTTGGTGAATTAAATGGATTTACGTGATTCTTTTTTTCTAAGGTTGTTTTATTCTGGCATATTCTGCTTCCTCTTACCCAAACAGACTCATTGCATTGCTAGAGCTCCTTCTCACTTCTGCTTTATTATTTCCAATGCCAATCATGACACCACAACAATGAAAAATGTTAAAACTATTACTTATACAAAGGACATTATATTCTGGGAATTTGCCCTTCTCTAGGTAAGAACTGTTCTAGGAGAAAAAAAGTGAGTGTGTTGTAGAACAATGTTCGCCTTCCCAAAGGTTGCTTTTCCTCTTTGCATGGTTGTTTTCATTAATTTAAAAATCTAAAATTAAAAAAATTACTAGTTGTAATTTACCAAGAAAGTGTGTCACCCACGAATTTCTGTTCACACAGATAGTTGCTTGTGATGTTCACCTACAATGAGACAAGAGCAAGCAGCAGAAAGGAACAGTATTTCTCTTCCTT